AACCTATTTATTAAATGTTTTTAGTCCGGATTACACTTTACCTGGCACTTTGATAACTTTTGAAATGCAGCAGCATTAATTTCTGATGCTATTATTACAGTAAATCATACAGGAATTACTGCATGTCCTAGACTAGTAAAGTGTATCAACTTTAACCATGTGGTTTGACATCCTTTAAAACATTTTACTTTTTTTAGTAGATTTGAATAAATATAGTACTGTAACTGTCCTTTGATTAAATCAATGAATCATATTGACTTCTACAGTAAAAGCCAACATAGCTCTAAATGTTGATATTTTAGGCGTAGTTGTAGAACTCGCCGACAAAGTGAATACAGTATGCTGCATATATTGTATATGGTAGAGGGAATTCCTACAGTATGTCACATTTTTGTTTCAGACTCAAGTGGTTTGATGTCAATAAACAGATTCGTTAAAAGGTTTTTCATTATTTTTTGAAATTTTATTAATATTTGGATTAACATGGTTTAACCTTTGAATCAATAAAACAATTATAAAATACTAAAAGCTGACATTGAGTTGAATATGTTTGTTACAAAGCTACAGAACAGATTCAGAAAGTCACTATTTTAAGGAATTAAGGTCAACCCAAATTTCTTCACTAAAAAAAAAAATCTTCTAAAATTTTAATTGTACAGTAGATGATTTTTAAAAATAATAATATTTAATCTGCCCTTCAGCTCAGTTTTTTTTTTATAAATGGCCTTAGTTTCTTTTTTCATTTAAAACCAGTTTGAGCAATGTTGCATGATATACGATAGAAGCTGCTACTGTAATTCAGACCATGCAAATAATAGGCATATATTTATATTGGAAAATATTACCAAGTACAACTTCACAGGTATGAATGCCTACGCAAATGCTTAGAATTAAATTCTATTGAAAAAGTTGAACTTGAGAACTAACTGGACTATCAAGTTGCAAATTAGGATGAAAAGGCGACTTGCAACCCCCCTTCAGGTTTCACCATTCTACTATTGTTTGCTCACCTGTTGAATAAAAAGGGACTTGAGTTCAAAGAGAAATAGTATTCTGGGTATGATTGGAACTTCCGCTGCCTTTTTGCCTGATACTATGCTCATCAAACACCAAACCTAAATCACAGTATCAATTACATCATCTTATTTACAAAATCATTCAATTTACATCTCTATGTTATAATCTATTGAATTGAAATAGAAATATTTAAGAACATACCTACCTTTAGGTCATTTTAACACTGAGGTTTTAAGTATCATACTTAAAAACCACTAAATGTAGGCATTAACTAAGTGTCAGGTAGCAACTGTGTTCGAATGCTATAATTATGCTAGCCAATGACGGACACATATTACATAGAGAATTACTGCAATTTGTAGTAACGTATACTTTAAGTTCATTTTTAATATTTCAATTTTATTTGCTAATTTTTTTCTTTAAAATTAGGACCAGAATGGTTAATTAGAACAATTTAATACACTTTTTTTTAATAAGAAACAGTAAAAATTTGCCCAAGCTCAGTGTTCTTATTGTTTTGCCAATTTCAGGCTCAAAATGTACTTACTGTAATTTGTTCTTATTTTTACCTAAGTATACAGTATTTCTGTACTGTATTATAGAGGGTATTACATAGTCGCACCTACTGCAAATAAGGTACAGATAAGATTTTTTTTTTTTTTTGCTTCTTTAAAAATAAAAACTTAATTTGACATTTTACCTCAGCCACAATTTGTTCTTATTTTGTTCTTAATTTTTAACAATTTCAGTCTTAGTTTTCTTATAAATAAAAAAGTGTAGTGCATCTATATTAAAAGGGAATTGAATCATGTAATTCTAAATTAAAAGCTTAACAAATTTACCATTAAAATTAAAGAATTCAAATATTGAAAGTTATTGTTCTAGTTAATTACTGTAGCTCTTTAAAGCCAGGTTCTGGAGGAAAACAATTTTCTGATCTGTTGTACAACTGATTTTTCTAGACACAAAAAATGTGTTTGACAAAAAACTTGGGAACAGTTAAAGAAAATGGTGGAAAAAAGGGTGGTTATGCCCCACTTTCCCAGTTTTTAAATATTTAGAAATCTGTATTTCATTAAGCATTCCTGAGTTTTTTTTTTTATTGAACACCTTTTTTGTCTTACAGTAGTTAATTTATTTTTAAATTTAAACTTATCTGAAATTGTTTAGTTTTAATTTTTCCCTTGGGATGTTACTGTATCTTTCCTCTGATTTTATTGAAATTTTGTACTCGTCTTGTGTTGTACTTTATTCAGACACGGCCTAGAGTAGGCTTTTGTTTTCTTCCTTTTGCTAAATGCAGTGATTTTAATATAAGATAAAGAGCCTGGCTTTTATGTTGAACCTTAATGTTGATCAATGGTGCCTGATAAATCGTTAGTTCTGTAAGCATACAGCGCAGTCAATTTCCTCTTACACTTACTTGCCAAGTAAATTACACTTGGAACAAATGCCAAAGATTTGTAATGCTATCTAATGAGCCAATGCATATGGTATTCAATACGATTCCTACTGATGTAACTTGCACTTTTACATTACATTAACTGTAGAATTTAATAAATCATGTAGAATATATGCAGTACTTCAATCAATAGAGTACAACAAATATTGCAAGGATTCCCACAAACAGCAGTTAGTACAGTAGATCAACTTAACCTTACCATTACTCCTGTCAATGTCATAGAGATGGTATTACCAAAGCAGTTGGGTACACTTTTTTTTGTAAGAACACATTTTATAAGAATACTGAGGCTGAAGTTCCTTAAAAATTAAGAACAAAATAAGAACAAATTGAGGCTGAGGTCAATGATGTTTCTTTAAAATAGAAAAGAAAAAGAAAAACCAAAAAGTTATATAACTGCATCTTATTTGCAGTAAAGTGTGACTATGTAATACCCTAATGTAAATTTTGTTTACACTCTATGAAGTAACTACTAGTTAAATACAGAAATTTCCTAGACAGGCCTCTACTTCTACTGTACTGTCATCAACAAAAATAAGGCTATAAATTAAAGAGGCCACATACATTATCAATTTCCATGAAGTTTGAAATTAAAATATAACAATTTTTATTAACTGACTACAGACATTTTATTGCAATAATTCTTAAAATTTGCTGGGCCAATTTGTATGTTTATATCAGATTTAGGCAGTACTTTCTCTTCGAAAATGTAAAAAAAATGACTTACTTTTACAGTACTTTAAAAAAATAAATAAAATTTTATGAAATGACATGAATACTTGAGTCCAGTTCTTTGCCACGGTATAGCTATATGCTTATGACAGTTCCAGTTGTCAATGTATAACAATTTTTACCAAAAGTTATAAAAATACATATTCCCACTAATCTTATAGGCAAAGCATGCACACTATTGCAGTAAAATGTTGATCTACAGTATAAAACAATGTACGAGACTCTTCGTAAAATAAAAGTATATGTCTTGCTTGACAACTGACAGCGTCATAAAATGTTCAATTCAAATTGAATTAGTGTAATAGCAAACAACATCTGAAGCAACAGCACAAATTCATAATGTAAATTATAAATTATGAAGGAGTGGGATTGGATGTTATACTGTAATAGTAAATAAGTACTTCTGCATCGTGTAATAATAAATACTGTACACTGTACCTCTTGCAAACTCATTTAAAATGATCATACTCTAAAATGCATGAATTCCAATGCAACTGTATTGAAACAATTTAGTTTACTTACTACAGTACTACATTTTCTAAAAATATTTTAGTATTTTGTTTAGCTGTAAATTGGTCAGGAAAATATAAATACCATGACATTTTTTTTTCTATCTATTTTGAGCTAATTACTCACTTACTTTCAAATAGAATATATCTCCCAGCTTTATAAATATAATTTGATGGCAGTTTAGTTTTAGTGTGTTGTTGTAGCAAACAACATTAATGAGTTTCATTTGACTTCTGTTAAATGACTCAAAATATTCTAAAAAAAGTAAACCATATAATATGGAAACATTAAGAACCGGTCTAGCAATAAATCCTAAAACAAATGGGTGAATGGTGTTAACAATAAGACAACAAAAAGAGGTAGAAAACCCAGTCAAATATTGAAGATCGAACAGAACAAAAAAGATCACATTAAGTTTTATACACTCTACTATGTTGCAATTTAATAATTTATTTTAATATTTGGAGGATTATACTTTCAATTTGGAATAATAGATGCATCTATTGGCTTGGTAAAATACTCTACATTATTCCTACACAGTTCATTCATTCTTACACTGTACATTGGCATTTTAGGGTCACGTTTCTAATGTCAGTGTACCTTGAATGCTACATGCTTAATGTGATGCTTATACAGTATGTGATTATATACAGTACCCCTTACTTCCTAAAGATATGTTCTTAACATGTTTCCGTTAATTTGGATTGTGTTCTTATTTTGGATCGCATGAAAGTTTCACTTTTCAAAGTATCGTCATTTTGTCCCAAAACATAATTCCATACAAATACATTAGAGACACCATTAATTTTAATAACTGTACACTTTATCTAAAATTCTGATTTAGAAAAAATCCATTTAGAATCAATGGGATTTTCAATTAATACTAATTGGTCACATTATACTGTATATCAACCCATATCTAAAGACATGTTAAGTGTTGATAGTGATACTCTCTTTTCTATATACCTACCAGAGACAACTGTCTTCAAAAATACACTGATTTTTTAGCAGACAATGGTATGGTAACCAATTATTATAGGTAAAGTGGTAAAATCAGGCCTTTCGTACTTATTAATTTTATATCTAGTAATAACGGTATACATACCATAACAATAAGGCACGAAACCTTGTTGCAAATCTGACCCATATTTCATGAAGAGGGATAAATTTTGAATTCAACACCTACCACCACACACAACATTAACAACAGGTTTAGGTACTTAGCTCAGCAGGGGCTAACTGTTCAAGGCACAGCAATGGACCAGGTTGAAATACTTACATGTATATTTTCAGTGATACATCTGGCCTTGCACTGGCTCGATAATATTCCTCCATTCGTATACGTAACAGACAAAAATATTACATAGTAAAGAGCTAAAATGTTTAAAATATCCATCGTAATCGTTATTAATCAAGTACCGTCGACGTTCTTGTGTACTACATGTTTTTCGAGGTTTCTGCCGACAACAGAACTCACTGCAAAATGCATGGGCATTCCTCTACAGACGACTGAACGCGTAAATCTGCTAACTAGTCAAGCGGAACGTGGGCTTTGCTCTTTGCTTGGAGGGATAAGTAACCCACAGCTGACAAGGTCCTAACAGAGATAAAAGGTATGCCCTTATTGGTCGTAATTTAATGTAAGAAAGAAAGTCTTGCGTGCTCGTTACAAAGACGGGCTTTCTCATGCAAAATCCGTTCACACAACTATAATCTCCCACCATGGAATCATGGAATTAGAAAAGAAAGGAACTCGACTATTTCATTCTCGCGAAGTACTTAGTGTAACTACAGCATATGAAGTTTCATACAATGATGGACATTGTTGATGGGAAAAGGGGGTATTTTATCTGAAAAGTGATGAATTAGAATTGTGTTATTATAGTATTTAGCATAAAGAAAGGCATTTGGACTCAAGTATATTCACTCAGGAAGGCGATGCCTAACAATGACGATATGTACCTGAATAAACATTTAATTTAATTTAACTTTTCGTTTCTCCTACCTAGGATGTTTCTTCTAGGGGGGGGGGGGGGGGGGGGCACTGCTGCTGGATGTGTGTAGGGTACATACGAGATAATGGCTCAAAATATTTTTACATTGGCAGCAATACGCTTCCGTATATATTGTATGGTAGACAAAAAAAAAAAGAATTAGATATTGAAAACAAATTTATCTGCGATATTGTTTAATGGAGGTACGATGCAGGCGTGGAACATAGGTAGTAGTAGTAGTAGCAGTAGAAACGTACAGTAGTAGTTTTCTTAAAAGGTTTATTTGCTCGTTTAAAAGGATCAAATGTGTTATCAACTTCAAGTAAAAGGCAGATTATAACAAATCGGTTCTTGTCGATTTACTACAAAATGCATTGGGCATAAATTAAACAGAGTAACATTCAATTAAACAGTCTAGACTGTATAAAGCATGTCTACAGAAACTTTTTTATTTATGCCTCTGTTGGTGAGAAGAATATTTTCTTATTGTAATTTATAATTGAAAGCTGATCATTTATTCAAATATACAAGCAATTAATTCTATTTAATCATGCGCTTTACAAATCCCACTTATTATTATCATTGTTATTATTATTATCATTGTTATTATTATTATTATTATTATTATTATTATTATTACCGTAATTAATTAAAAATGTTCTAGTACAGTATGGTATTCCAGTAAAACAAAACAGTGTGGCGCCCTCTGCAGTTGGCTTTATCCTTAACTTCTGGAGGCTATACAAGGGAAGTTGCCAATACATCCACTTTAGCTACAGGTTGCACTAAACTAAAGCAAGGCGTACATAATAATACGGGACTTGATAGATTTTAATAATGAATGCTGATGTAATTAATAATAATAATTTCATGTATATTATACACTGCAAATAATGTTTCGGAGAACTGTTGTGCTAAGTCTTCTTGGCTGTCTTTATTACAAACTTCCATCCTTAATGTGGGTTTTATGTTTTATAAATTTTAAGTACCGACTCACGCGATAAGCGCCCGAGCGCTCTTATGAAAACAAAGTGTAAATTTTTTCTTATAGAAATAGATGAAAATTGTGGGGTTTTAATGTAAACTTGGAAAATCCAAGGGACACATTTTCAGTTGAGAATGTTGTAAATTGAATCTTAAGTTTTATATGGTTATATTTTTAATTAATTAATTTTATAAATTTATTTTTAGTTTTTAATTTACCTTATTGTATTGTTCTTTCATTGCTGTTGCATTTCAGATTGGCTGTATGTGATATCTTTTGCACCGGTAGGCCTAAACATATTATATTTTATATGTAGGCCTATGTGTGTGTGTATATGCACATATCATTTTAATATATTTTCATTTGTTTTCTTTTGGGCATTTAAAATGTTAATATTTTAATTAAGATTTCGATTTTTGATGTGTCATTTTTTAAAATTTTGTTAGTTTTTTTGTTTTTCTTTTTTTTTTTCTCTTGGATGCACGTTTCGAACGTGTGCCACTGTTGCAAAAGTGTTGTCTCCAAATAAATAAATAAATAAATAAACAAATAAATAATAATAATAATATTGATAATAATAATAACAATATTAACAATATTAATAATAATAATACAGTAATAATGATAATGTAAATAATAATAATAATAATAATAATAATAATAATAAATAATAATAATAATAATATAGTAATAGTAATAATAATAATAATTATTATTATTATAATTATAATTTATTTATTTATTTATTTTTGGGTTTTTTTTAGGTTTCTCTATTTTTATGGGGATAATAATTCTCCAATTTTGATTTTATTGAAAAGTTACTGTAGTCTAAGATCAATTTCTGAAATCTATGAAGTATAGAGGGCGGTGCCCATGGAAGATGTTATGTCCTTCCGTAAACAAAATGAATGGTAGGAAAACATCGGAAGAGGATGCAATTGAACAGATAAATGAGCGAGTTAGGAAAGTATTCAATAAATATCTAAAGGAAAAGAAAGAAGATGGAAAATTTATTACAGGATATGTTGAAGGTACTGAGGTATTGGAGACCTTTTTGGAAGACTACAAGCGGGCTGGCGGTGTCAGTTTCAGCATTCGAGACTCATGGAGGCGGAGCGGATTGACTAGTCAGCCCCGGCTGAGAGAACTAGAACCGGGGAAAGACATTGTAAATGACCTGCCTAGGCCCAGCGTTAGTGACGAGGATCGGCCTAACTCTAAAACCCAATCCCCACCAGATGTCCAAGTAAAATCACAAAGTACACAGAAAAGCACAGGAGCATTAGAGAGTAATTTAACTAAAATTTTGTTTTCATTTCTTTTGTAACTTTGATCAAATGTGCTTAAATTGTATGTATTTATATTTTTAGTTTGTGAATTTGAGTTTGATATTGGGATGATTTTTCTTGCCAAGCTAGGCCTAATAGGCCCCTAGTTTGATAAACCTGTCCCTGGACCTTCTACGACTGTGTGTTGACGTGTGTGCAATGTGTCCACTGCCGCTTTTATACACGTTGTATGGATGGCGCGGACGGTTTAACCAAGCCATCCATGCGACGATTCCATGCGTGAGTTCGATTCGCGTCTTGTATTCAATTTTTTTTTTTCAAATTTTAAGACATCTTTTTTTTCCCTATTTAAAGACATTTTAATTTTGTACAATTATTTAATCTAATTATTTAAAAAATTCTCTCTTATAAGGAGCTCTAGATGTACTTGGCTGATTAATTAATTAATAGATCTTTTTTTGTGAAGTGTGCCACCAATATCAAGGACTGTACATACTGCCATTACCACTAATAGGGCACGTCCTATAGATGACGTGGTCGGTTAACGATGTGTTCTATTGAGCCAAAGGTTGTGATTTCTTGGTATTAATTTTTTTTTTTTTCAGTTTTAAAACATTTTAATTTTGTACAACAAGTGAACATTCTAATTATTTTAAAATTATTAGTTCTTCTAATTTTTTTGCCAAACAGCTCTCAAATATCTTAGAATGTTCATTTATACAAAAAAAAAATTAAACACAGAGGCGCAATTCAAACTCACAACCATCAGTTCCTTACAACAAAGCATTAACTGACCATGCCATTTATACGTGTCCTGTTAGTGGTGGTAATTAATGGCAATTATGAACCCCTGAACCTGTGTACTGTATGCGCTGGGTGTGGTATAAACGTGCTTGGTTGTACACTGGCTGTAGCGAAATAATCTTGAATTTATTAGTAAAGTGCAAAACAATACTGTATCCAATACTATAGAGTAAGTACAGGTCTCCCTCCATTGAAACACCCTTCTAATTAAGGACCACCTCCAATTAAAGACCACTATTCTGTGGTCCTAAATTGACACATTTCTTTTATGTTTATTATTCTAATGAGAGACTAAATCTGCTAAAGACCATGGAAACCCCGGTCCCAAAAGTGGTCTTTAATTGGAGGGAGACCTGTATTTTCATTGTGCAGAGGGATACATAAAAATCCTACTTAAAAATTTGCATGGGAAATACTGTAGTTAGAAAAAATCCACAGCTACTGCGTGATACATTGGTTATATATTGAGAGCACATGATTCTACCTAAATGATTTGATAAGTATCAGTTTCGGTGACAAATAATAGTCATGATAGTCGTGATGACTTCACCAAACCTGATTAGGGGGATTCTGATTTAGATGCATGCATGTGATTGTGACTGGCGCTGTCACAATAAAACATGCTAACTACCTTATACCATCTTCCGTAGGTCAGTGTCGTATATTATGGCAAAGCAGTAATGGTACCTTGAAGATTCCGAACCTTGGTCTACCGTTTATAATTCAAGCATATGAGAGACGGGTTTGTACATTCACATGTACACGACGTGGCAAAAGGGACGTAAATGGGTCACCTGAAAATGTTACAGATGAGGCTCAAGGAGATACAATAGCACCATCTACTGGAATTACCCAACCAGATACAAGTACAGCTAGTAGCAGTGCAACTAGGAAACGAAAACCTATAAGTAAAAATGTAAGTCAATGTTGCATATAAAATTCACTGACTATCAGAAGGAATACTTAAGGCCAAATAAAAAAAATTACTAGTTTCTCATCCCCTTGCACATACATTTTTTATGCCTCGCCAAAAATTTTTTTTTCCTTTATTGTACAAAATTTACTAAAATCTGGCTAACTCACATCAGTAAATTTCCTTTCTCAATCGGTCGTGGTTGGGGATACATATGGTATGAATCATGTCTAGTGCTTCTTTTATTTGCTTTCAATGTGTCTGCTTAGTAATAGCATGTAAAAGTGAGAAAGTAGTAGCTGTTTCCCGTCGACCATCTTGGATTTGCCATCTCGGAGTAAAAAAAAGTGCTTTCGTTCTCCTTTTTTTCAAAATATTAGGATGAAAAAATACCTTTTTTTAACTTGGCTTAAAGGAAATTCTAATTTTCCAACATGCTGTAGTGCATTAAGATAGCGAAACTGAAGATTGATTAGGGGAGCCAGCTGACACCAAGGCCAGATTTGCGTAAAATTGTTGAAACTGTGTTCGATCAATACATAAAATAATAATTTTCTGGTTTTAACTAAATTATATTATTAAATTACCTTAATATTAATTTTATAAATTATTAATACTCTATCAATGCTTAGTTATAGTTTGTTAAATTAAATCTTTATATATTTCTATTAAAAAAGTTGAAGTAATGTTCAGGTTTTTACATTCCTGTTTTTTAAATGAATGAAAGACTTTGAAATACTCTATTAATAGCATTTAGTTTTTATATTATTATTTATTTATTAAAATAATTTTGTTTTATTTATATGATAAATAGTAATACTCAGGTTATTAAATCCTATTTTCTTTTAATGAAAAGATCTAAAAATAATTTTAAAAACTTTTGGTTAATTTTAATGTGTATAATAATTTTTATCTTTTTTTTAGGGTAGTGAAGATGACACTTTAAAGAAGAAACGAGTGAGAAAGTCAATGAAAAAAGATTGTAAAGCTGTAATAGAACTAAAGGAAATATGGGTGTTTGCTGAATATAAGGTAACACATAACTTACATTAAAAAAGTAACACTACAATAAGTAACACTACAATGGTAGCACATATACTGCTCTGTAGACTGCTATGATTTTAAAAAGGCCAAAAGCAAATTGTTGTGTTTCTCAGCCACAGTGACATTTAGAAATCAGATTTGTCAGGATTTATTTTAATTATACCCCTTTTCTGAATTCAAGGGTTAATTTTCAACCTCCACTCACCACATGTTTTTTTGGTCAAGGCTTTGGTTGGGCTAAAATTCTTAGTTGAGGTCTTAAATTTATTATGTGGCACATACAAGAATGACTTTGGTCTACACATTGAAAGAATACATTTTTTTTACAGGATTTCAGGTCTGTCGGGCTGGGTTATACTGTCAATATCCCAATAGGTGACGTGCCCCTTTTATAATGTTTAGAGGCTTCTGTGTGGTGTTTATTACAAAGAGGTGCTTATTCGCGACTGATGGTTATTACAAATTATTGGAGTGCTAAAATGGTACAATTGTATTCTACATATTTTTAATGTTTTTTTAACATTTGATTTTTTTTTGGTAATTTTTGTGTATATAAAGTGAACTTGTTTAACTTAATACCAATCAAACCTATTTTTTGAACATTTCTTGACCTAAGTATGATTTAGTTATTTATTTGGGGAAATCAATTCATCGCTCACATCACGAACTAACACAATCAAAGTAGATTGTGTTAGTTTGTGAAATCACAGTAGCGCGTCAAAACGAGCGCATTTTGGTTGTCAAGCAATTTTGTATTCTTTACCACACAAAAAGTCCTTAATAACAACAACGCATATTTTGATGCGCTTTCTTGATTTCACTAACACAATCTACTTTGATTGTGTTAGTTTGTGATGTGAGCGATGAATTGTAAGAGACAGTCAATGTTATGACCCTAAAATAATTAATAGACAAGAAACTTAATATGTCTTTGCTTAGTCATGTTTACAGGGAAACAACTTTGCAGTCATTACAATGGTGGAATAACAATGGGTTAGATAACCACAGACTCAACCAATGATAGTTTTTTAATTTCTTCTTTTTTTTTGTTGCTACAGCCTACATTTGCAGAGGGCTCTAGTGACCATGCTAAAAGGAAAGTTAGAGAAAAAATTATCAGCCTGTTGCAGAGAGAAATGAGGGCAGGAAAAGTTAAGTACCTTCGGCGGTACTACCTCCGCTTGCCCTACCCAGAGGTGCACTCCGACCATGAAATCGGAATGAACAACAAGCAGTGTAAAATCAACCCTTTTGTGATATCATGCATCCAGAACTTGGTCACGGAAGGAATCACTGCTGTCAAGAATGTGCAACATCACCTCAACAATCTTGTTAAAGTTGAGTGCCAGAAGAGCAGTAAGCGTTATGTGATTGGGCTTGACTATGATAATTCATATTATCCGGATGAAAAAACAATACGTAATCATATATATCTTGCCATGAACGCACAAAAAGCAAAGACACAAGACAGGGAACCTGAAGTAGGGCGCCCTCCATCTCCAAGGCATATTCGATTACTGAGCAACACTGCTTCAAATGTGCGATCGGAGTTAAAAGAGATTAATAATCTGACTCAAAAGTGCCAGGATGTGCAATTATTGACTGAACTTCTGACCCAGATTGAAAAGATTCGTAAACAGTTCCAGGATAAATTGGATAAAAACTCCTTGTTACCACGGGAACCGATTCCAAGTATTTCTACTCAAGATTCCCATGCTTTGATGGAGAGTTCACAGTCTATTGACGATGCATTAAATCACATATCTTTTGAGAATCCAGCTGCAGATTCTGTAGTACTAGATATTGACACTGACCTCGAGGCAGCAAATATCCTGCAATCTTTCACGTCAAACTCGTTCACTAGTACACTTAGTCAGGATGGTATGAGTGTTGGGACTAGTCAGGGAAATTTTGACAGTATACCAGCAATACCTGTCATGTTACACAAACTAGTCACCATGATTCCGCAACAACCTCAGCTTCAACAGCCGCAACAACAACATCAGCAACAACAACATCAACAACATCATCAGCACCAGCAAAATCAACAGCAGCAACAACCACAACATCATCAACAACACAATCATCAGCAACAAAATCAGCAGCATTCACAGGGCCAACAACAACAACTTCCACAGAATCTTCAACATCAGGAGCCACATTTCCAGCTGATGCAACCTTACATGCCAAGCGCTGAGAGCTCCCCGATGGCACCGCCACAACTCACCCTGCTCCACGCTAATATAGTTAGTGAAGCCGATATTGCATCCCTGCAAAAAGGTAGAACGATACCTTTACCTCATACTCCACACTAGTAGCCACCAGCTTAAGCCACCATTAAGGCTTAACTTCCTCGGCAACTAACATTACATTCTGGAAAAAGTCAGAACCAAACTTTTGTCTCATAACTACACTTTACCTCCTCAGCAGGCTGACATCACAATCCTTGGGAAGGGAAGAACTATACCTTTATCTCACAAGGGAGCACTAGCGGCAGCACAGGGGGACCGTAAGCCCACCCATCAGTTTTATTGGTTGGGCTAACTCTTTTGTAGGCCCACCAATATTTTATTTTGACAGGCCGATGGATCACTTGTTGGCCGTTGTGTATCATGGTTGGAAGGTATAATAGGAGATTAAATTGCATAAAATCTTTGGTGGCTTTGGTGGTCTAGAACCTACATCTGTGAAAGTCCATTCCTGGCCCCCTTGGATCTGCCCTGGATTTTGTGAATAAACCCATACAGCTAAAACTTAGTAAGTAAAATATAGCTGTTTGAATGATGTTGCTGTAGACTCTAGTTTTCAGTCTCCTTCAACACTCACATTTACACAAATAGTCTTGAATGTATTGGCTCTGTACATAATGTCTATGATCCAAAAGTAAGAATATTTTGAATTCTCAAGTAATTCTGTAAAGCCGAGCACAAAACTGCATCATACAACAAATCTAACTCCACTCCGAGTGAGTGCTAGACCATGCGATGCCGTCTGCTGATTGTCAGTAGTCATCTGAACGGATCGTCATTAAAAACGATCAGTTGTGCTCGTGTCGTCGCGTTGCATCTTTATAGAATCGTGTCGGCCGATGACAGTCGGACGCAGTGGGTGCCCGGCTTTAATCTGCAAAAGTGGAAGTAAGTTTTATAATAATATGGAGATGATAATAATATACCGATTTATTTCCTAAATAATCCTCTTCCTACAATAAACCTTTTCTAAGCGCCTTGTATCCTTTGGCAAAAGGCGCTATATAAATTTCTATATTATTATTATTATTATTACCGTGCCTTTTACCGTGTCTCATTGGAAGAAGAAGGTATGCCATACGTGATCCTTTGATTCAATGTTGTGGAAAGTCTGTTGATAGTAAAGTACGTTCCTCTTGTATAATTTTGGGGGTTGGCTTATACTCTGGAATCCCCTGGCCACAAATTGAAAATTGACATTCTATTTAAAACTGCATCTATCAGGAATGGCTAGTCTAAAACTGGAGAGGATCCAGAATTTTTGAAAGGGGGAGTTGGGGGGGGGGGCAACCACAACATTTTCAGAATTGGTGAGTAGCACATAACATTGATATGCATTCAAATTTTAAATTTTAGTGGCACAACGGGGGTTGAGGCACGTGCTTCCTACTGGATCCGCGCATGGTAAAAGTTACTTATTCTGATCATACCTTGGGCTTTTGCTGGAGGTAAGACTGGTACATAAAATTGGGCGTGAGGCCTTATACCCAAGCAACTATGGTAGTTAAGTTCATTTTTTGGATTAAATCCTTGTGATGTGGTTTCTAATTTTCGTTTTTGTATGTACAGTATAGTACTATTGCATTAACTTAAATACAGTATATAAAATATAAAATAAATTCAGTATTTAATTGCAATGTTGTGGTGTTTTTTTTTTAAATAGTTAGGCGAGACTTGTTTTATACCTTATTTCGAGAACTTATTTTTTTAAAGAATGCAGAGGAGGGCGGAATAAAAATTAAATTTTGGTTTTTAATTTACCAAATAGTTTCGACAAAAACATCCAGACGGAGTAGAAAAAAGAAATAAAATGTTGTTGGTGAATGTAGACAGTGTAGTAATTGGATGGTTAAATGCTTTTTTTTCAATTTATATAATTAGGAAGAAATATACATATCCAATTTTTTTTTTTCTGAAATTTCCATTTTTTAGTGGCGTCAGGTGCGCTAAATAGAATTTTATTTGAAATCACCATCATTGGCGAGCTATTAGCTGTCAGTTCCCAACAAATTAATTAATTGAAAGTATTTTTAAGTGGTGGTGCCAGTTGCAGAGGCAGATTCCCGTCAGAGTGACCATCAAAGGAGAACTCAACACATTTGTTAGTCAAAAATATTCATGTAAGTTTTACAGAATATGAGGCTGCAAGATTGATTACGGGTCTTAAGCATTCGAAATAATACAAATTGTTAGAACTTCTGGGGGGGGGGCCTTTGCCCTCTGGACCCTGGGAAATCGCTCCTCCCCTGCCGTTGGCCAATTTTATTTGTGATGGTTTTACACAAGCAAGAAATATTGGAAAATTAAGTGACTGATTATTTTGGAAAAATATATCAATCTAAAATTGTAATGAATTTAGTGTCCTAATATTGTGCTATAGTATAATTCAACATCGATGTGAATCACAAGATCTAAACACCTTTATTAACTGAAACATATTTGCTGCGAAGCAGCCAATTCATATTCTTGACAGCAATTTGACCTCTGAAAGGTCATTGTCAAAAAACAAGGGCCTAAGACGACTGAAAAAGCAGAGTTTCCTTCTTTCGTTCTGCCGGGTAAAATCAATTACTTTAGGCGACGTTTGTAGACTAACCTACACGTACCAACGTCCGCGCATGTTGCGACGCTCGAGTATTACTATTCAGCATTTTTACTATATTTCTAGGTTTCCTATTTGTACGTTTAATCGGCCCATGTCTCGGCCACAATATTTTGAGGCCAATTATTTACGAACCCAGTTAAACTTATTTACTAGCCTATTTCAGCGTGCTAATTATTACATTTAGGCGACGCTTGTTGTAGACGACGAGATGCTTGAGTATTACTATTCAGCGTTTTTACTATAACCATGGGCGGTATAAATGTCAACTCGGCCCAAGTCTCAGCACAGTATTTTGAGGCCTATAGTATTTATGAACCCAGTTAAACTTATTTATGTCAACGTGCTAATTATTACATTTTAAAACAATAATTAAAAATGTATTATACTAGGGGGGCCGCGAAACTGTGGCCAAGTTGACTCAAATTCGATCATGCTTACGTTGTGTGCTGCGTTGGCAGTCAACTCGCCCCTTGAAAATTCGCCGCCTTGAAAAACTCCCCATACTAAATCATCTCGCCAAATAAAAATTCCTACTCTAGGCCTAGACTAGCTAGGATGGTATTCATAAAACGGTGCAGTTCTTTTCCCTGGTCATTGGGTCCACAGGCTAAGTGTTGCTGCTGGTAATCAGCGCAGGAGCACTCAACTCCACCAGGTACCCATTTATACTCCTGGGTAGAGAGAAGCCAATGCAGATAAAGTCCCTTTGCTCAAGGACACAAGCGAAATGCACAGCGAGGGATTAAAACCCCGACTTCGAGGTTGGGAAACCAAACCGTTCCCGCTGCGCCAAACTGCTTCCACAAAATGTAGCGATCTTTTTCCCAAGGCGAAAATAAATGCTTCATTCCCAGAATAAAGTCCCGTTCCATGACAGGGATTGAACTCAGGACACAGGATTGGAAGACAATTTTCATCTCAACCACCAAGAAACAACTCCAATGGGTTTTTATTGTTCTGTGTTGAAGATGTTTCCTGCAGAAAATAACTAAAAGTCATGAAAAAATAATTTGAAATTAATTTTGCCAATTTTGAAGTAACATACAAAGTATTAACTTGAGCACAGAAATTAGTGATTTAAAAAATAAAATGTATACCCTAAATAATAAAACACAAGCGTTTCTATCATTTTCGGTGTAAATGTGTGGATAAAAATTTGATAGATAAAACTAATTTCTATGATCAAGATCATAATTTCTATTTTACTTCAAAATTAGCAAAAAGATTTTTATTATTCCTCTTGGTATATGACATAGAAAAACTTAAGTTCTTAAAATATTGTGTTTGTTGGGTTAATTATGTTTAAAATACAAGAGATCTAAACCAGGATTCACATCTATGGAGCGTGCTATCGCTCAGTATTCAGTTTTGAACTGCAGTTTGGATTAAAAAGTTGCAGCGAGTTTCCTGGCCTGCAGAGAGTGCAACAAACTTGCAGTGGGATGCAAAACCAGTGCAGCAAAGTTACAAACTTGCTGCAGCCTTTATTTCTCTCCTATGTCACTATCTGCGTGGTGAAATCCCCTTGTTCTTCAATGAACTATCTGTATATTGTAAATTTCTGCAAAACGTAGAAAGGCCATATAACTTTTGAACTTCTAAACACGATGGCTAGATTCAAGATAATTTTATTGTCGAAAAAGATCAGAAAATTGTCAAAGAAAACAGTACAGTTCAGTAGTAAACAAAAGATTATAAACAAAATTAGTAAGTAAAAATATAAAAACAATACAATTTATCTATACTGTACATGATACCATAAACCCTACTGACATTTATATTGACCTCTCTTTGTTAAAAGGGAGCTTTCAATTTGCGCGACGATGCGAGGCTAGAATACAAAATTAGTCATTCGTGACCATCCTACCAGGCGTCCTAGAATCCATGCGACAATGAGAACTTTCTCGTATGGGCAGATGACTATTAGTGACATCATTATGTTTTACGTCCTACCATGGGGTATTGGATAATTTTTGACCCACAACGTTAACCTTAACTTTAACGTTAGTACCTAACATGTAACGCGATAGCTCCGCCCCTTTTGTAAACAAATCGAAACACCCATGCGCAAACCCGTAACTAACGTTCGCCAAGCACGTAAAATCCCGAAATTAACGTACTCCGCAACGCAAGAAGAATAAATTATGGCATCATTCGTTAACCTTAAGGTTAACATCGTGCGGCGAAAACTACCTATTATAATATCCTCTATGGTCCTATCGTCGTCGTGCAATCGAAAGCGAATTATTATTAACGATAGTACCTAGCTTCCAACATGTTCTACTTGCTTTTTATTACGTATAATGACATATTAAGGAATCAAATCTGATTGATAAACTTTATTAATAATAATAATAATAATAATAATGATAATGATGATGATGATAATAATAATAATCTGTATTGAATATACAGTACACTAAAATACAGAGATTGCATTAAAAAACAAAAAACCCTAAAATAAAATACATTAAAACACTAAATCATAAAACATTAAACAACACCAGTAAAGGACACACTTCATATTATAATACAAATACATTTATAATAGTAAACCCTAAAACGTTAAAAAAAACAAAAACAAAAAAAAAACAGTAAACAGTATAAGACAATAAAAGGGATACAGTGGGTAATATTCTTTCAAATTTCTTTAAGAAATTGTGAAATTTCTAATCTAATATTGTAATTTATGTTATAAGATATATTGTCCCACGGTAAAATTAATACCAATATCCTAAAAAAACCATTTTTGGAATTAAGTTGCTCAAGTAACATACAAGTGATAATAGCTTGTTTAAACATAGAAATTTAATAGTTTATTTACTTGCAAATTTACATGTGTCCCTTCTAAGACAGATGTCTCTTCCATCCAACTTCTTGTACATACAAAGGAATTTTCATGGAAACAAAACGGAGGTAACGCATTCAATACTGACTCAATATACCCCAACAGGATTACTGACTTATCCAATCATTGACAAGAAAAAAATTAATAATGAAGTAATATAATCTTATTCTAGTATTATAGACCGCTTTTAGTATTGATTATCTGTATCTTGTACACTAAACAGGTTGGCACACAATTTAGATTGATGATTGTGGCTTGCCAAGGTTTGTCAATGTTTACATCAGTTTTTCTAGTTAATGAATTTATGATGAAGCTGGTTGTTGAGATTATAAACACCTTCTCAGAGACCCAAGGAAGCTTGGGCCTAAAAAATATAATTTAGACAAATCCACGTCCACAGCCATTCCATATATAATTACGGGCCATATTATAATCTTGAAAATATATCTTGAGTTCACCTTAGGATGGAGTTTGTGGAGGAATTACAAATTTCACTGCCGTTAGTTGTGCAGCTAAAAACCTCAGATCTGGTTGTCTATTATTCGACTGCACTTGATACTTAGCTGCAAAAAAAAAAAAAAAAAAAAAAAGTTACTGTTATAAATTATTATACACAGTATTATGACAAGCATTCACAATACTAATGTCTTATATACACGTAAATATTCGAATAGTTTCATCTGGTTTGCTAAATATTATTATATTTATAACTGTTTTATCGTTAATAAACGATGCTAGAGCATCTTTTGCAAAGCACTACAAGATGCTATGCAACAAGAGTATTGCACTGTCAACCAGAGTCACCTTCCTCAACAGCTTTGTTAGATCAAAACTGACCTACAGGTGTCACTCATGGAGACCACTCCAAAGTGAACTTAACAAGCTCAACTCTACATATAACTACTCCCTAAGATCTATAATAGTAAACGGGTTTGAAAGACAAAGGTCTCCAGTAGTAGCATGTCGTGTGCCTAGTAGCGATGAAGAGGAGGAAGAACCAGAGGAGGAAGAACCTGGCGACGATGCCGATTGGTCGTTTACAATAAATAATTTCTTAATTGTAAAGAACATTTCTATACAAGACTTCTACAGCAAACAACAAGTAAACTGGATCGTTCATGTTATAAGACGAGAAAACTTAAACCCATGTAAAAAGCTTACTTTTCATTGGACAAAATAAGTAAATGTGGTAGAAAAACCACATCATTTATTGAGAGAGCACCAGCTTCTAGTGGATTCTCAAGAAATCAATTCATCAGAGACTGTTTTTTAAGACACAAGTTTTCTTCTCTCCAAGTTAGGCTTGAGTTGTACGGCAAATATAGCACTGTCAAAGTGCTGTGGAAAAAAAAAATTATGGGGGAAGCGAAAGAATATGATATAAGAAAAATAAGATAAAGTAAGAGTAGAAAGATTTTAAAAAAAGGAAGGAAAAAGAAAATACTAATAGAAGAAGACAGGATACTATTGAAGGGCAACATTAAGTTCCATACATCCAAGGCATATCGGAAAAAATAACTAGGGCTTTACACAAAACCAAAATCGGGGTATTTTCAACCGGTCAACCAAGTCAGAGAACATTTGGTACACCTGAATAACAAGTTCGCAAAAGAAAACATCTGTGGAGCCATATACAAAATTGGTGGCCGGAACTGTGACTCTGTTTAAATTGGGGAAACGGGTAAACCCTTCAAGAAACGTCTGGAGAAACACATGAAAGATGTTGATGATAACACACAAAAGGTCAGTGTCCTGGCTTCAGACCAAGATACTCTACACAAGTCGGCCATTACTGACCAAATGGTACAGTGACCACACTCCAAACTGGGATGACACAAACATATCAAAACAGAACAAACATGGGACAAATGTACAATCTAGGCCATCTTAATTAAGAAACAAAAACGGACGATGAACAGAGACGATGGGTAATACAAGCTTTCACACATCTTTGACCAATTAACTTTAAACCTGAAAGGCTTGGGACCTGAAAGGCTTGGGACCCGAAACCAATCCCGACAGGTTGGAATTTATATAGGCCTACCGGGTATTGCTAAACCCCGCAAACCTTCAAAAACACAGTGCAAACCCCATCCAAAACTTGTGATAATGATTGAATCACATAGTATAAGACTCAACTTGGTATCTCAATAAAAAAAAAATCTTAATTTTATGTTCGTCACAACCTATTTTTGGGGTAAAAAGGCCATTTTTTTGTATTAAAAAATTGCTAAACCCCGCAAACCCCATCCAAACCCTTTGATAGTGATTGAATCATGTAGTATAGGACTCACTTGGTATCTCAGTAAAAAAAAATTATAATGTTCCATTCGTTTGGGTAAATGCCATTTTTTGTATAAAAACATTGCTAAACCCCGCAAACCTCCAAAAACACAGTGCAAACCCCATCCAAACTCTGTGATAATGATTGAATCACATAAGTATAGGACTCAATTTGGTATCTCAATTAAAAAAAAATCTTAATTTTATGTTCATCACAATCTATTTTTGGGGTAAAAAGGCTATTTTTTGTATAAAAAAATTGTTAAACCCCGCAAACCCCTCAAAACACAGTGCAAACCCCATCCAAACCCTGTGATAGTGATTGAATCATGTAGTATAGGACTCACTTGGTATCTCAGCCAAAAAAAAAATTATAATGTTCCATTCGTAACAACCTACTGTACTTTTTGGGTAAAAATGCCATTTTTTGTATAAAAACATTGCTAAACCCCGTAAACCTCCAAAAACACAGTGCAAGCCCATCCAAACTCTGTGATAATGATTGAATCACATAAGTATAGGACTCAATTTATTTGGTATCTCAATAAAAAAAAAATCTTAATTTTATGTTCACCACAACCTATTTTTGGGGTGAAAAGGCCATTTTTTGTATAAAAAAATTGCTAAATCCCGCAAACCCCCCAAAACACAGTGTAAACCCCATCCAAACCATGTGACAGTGATTGAATCATGTACAGTAGTATAGGACTCACTTGGTATCTCAGTAAAAAAATTATAATGTTCCGTTCATAACAACCTAGTTTTTGGGTAAAAATACCATTTTTTGATTAAAAACATTGGTAAACCCCGCAAACCTCCAAAAACACAGTGCAAATCCCATCCAAACTCTGTGATAATGATTGAATCACATAGTATAGGACTCAACTTGGTATCTTAATAAAACAAATCATAATTTTATGTTCATCACAACCTATTTTTGGGGTAAAAAGCCCACTTTTTGTATAACAAAATTGCTAAACCCCGCAAACCCCCCAAAACACAGTGCAAACCCCATCCAAACCCTGTGATAGTGATTGAATCATGTAGTATAGGACTCACTTGGTATCTCAGTGAAAAAAAATTATAATGTTTCGTTCGTAACAACCTACTTTTTGGGTAAAAATGCCATTTTTTTATTAAAAACATTGCTACTGTAGACCCTGCAAACCTCCAAAAACACAGTGCAAACCCCATCCCAACCCTGTGATAATGATTGAATCACATAGTATAGGACTTAACTTGGTATCTTAATAAAACAAATAATAATTTTATGTTCGTCACAACCTATCTTTGCAGGGTTTAGCAATTTTTTTTTAAATACAAAAAATGGCCTTTTTTTACCCCAAAAATAGGTTGTGACGAACATAAAATTAATATTTTTTTAATTGAGATACACTGCGTTTTTTTATTGAGATGCACTGTGTTTTTGGAGGTTTTGCGAGGTTTAGCAATTTTTTATACAAAAAATGCCCTTTTTACCCCAAAATTACAGTAGGTTGTGACAAACATAAAATTAAGATTTTTTTTTATTGAGATACCAAGTTGAGTCTTATACTATGTGATTCAATCATTATCACAAGGTTTGGATGGGGTTTGCACTGTGTTTTTGGATGTTTGCAGGGTTCAGCAATTTTTTTATACAAAAAATGACCTTTTTACCCCAAAAATAGGTTGTGACAAACATAAAATTAAGATTTTTTTTTATTGAGATACCAAGTTGAGTCCTATACTATGTGATTCAATCATTATCACAGGGTTTGGATGGGTTTTGCACTGTGTTTTTGGAGGTTTGCGGGGTTTAGCAATTTTTTTATACAAAAAAGGCCTTTTTTTACCCCCAAAATAGGTTGTGACGAACATAAAATTACGATTTGTTTTATTGAGATACCAAGTTGAATCCTATACTATGTGATTCAACTATTATCACAGGGTCTGGATGGGGTTTGCACTGTCTTTTTGGAGGTTTGCGGGGTTTAGCAATTTTTTAATACAAAAAATGGCCTTTTTACCCCAAAAATAGGTTGTGACAAACATAAAATTAAGATTTTTTTTATTGAGATACCATGTTGAGTCTTATACTATGTGATTCAATCACTATCACAGGTTTTGGATGGGGTTTGCACTGTGTTTTTTGAGGTTTGCGGGGTTTAGCAATGTTTTATACAAAAAATGACATTTTTACCCAAAAAGTAGGTTGTTACGAATGGAACATTATTTTTTTTTTTTTTACTTATATACCAAGTGATTCCTATACTACATGATTCTATCACTATCACAGGGTTTGGATGGGGTTTGCACTGTGTTTTGGGGGATTTGCGGGGTTTAGCAATTGTTTTATATAAAAAATGGCAATTTTACCCCAAAAATAGGTCGTGATGAAGATAAAATTAAGATTTTTTTTTACTGAGATACCAAGTTGAGTCCTATACTATGTGATCAAATTATTATCACAGAGTTTGGATGGGGTTTGCAGTGTTTTTTGGAGGTTTGCAGGTTTTAGCAATACCCCGGCCTACCTCATTTTTTGATCTTGTACAGTACATCATATATTACTTCTTTCGTCTGTCTCCATTTTTGTCTCTAGGAACCCGTTGTAAATAAGTTCATCTGAACTTTCAGGGGTTATCCAGGCATTAATATCTGTTTTTACTGTCAATCTTTATAAGTGGTACTGTATATAATGTTCAAAGTACCTCAAAAATTAATTTTCGATCGATAAATATTTTAAGATGCATTTATTAATTTTGTATGTTTTTTTTATAATTATTATTCGTGTACATTTTTTCTAAATTGTGGTTTTTATTTATTCTTAAGGCACTTGTATTTATATATAGTATACAGTATTTTTATATACAGTATTTGTTTTGCTGTATTCTAAATATTTATAATGCCGAATAAAATGAAATGAAATGAGCTGGTCACCAGAGGGCGTTGTTTACACATGCCAAAAGAACTGATGCTAAACTCACATAACCTAACGAAGTCATGTTGATAACATCAACGAAAGCTCGCTATGAAGAGAATAATTGTTAGCACGAACAACAGCATAAGCCTTTTGAACTAACTATCACAAATGTTCTCGTCGTCGTAATCATTCGCATCATCACCATTAATAGGCCTAACAACAAGAGTAACAATAACTATATAATACTATGCAACAACAACAACAATATTAATAATAATACATTAAAAAAAGGTGCATATAGCAAATTAATTTCAATTATAGGCCTAATACTAGATCATACCTTTTGTTTAAGTGTGACCGTATGATAAATGTCTGCTTCATAGACATCCAGTGTAGATATATCTTTTCCATCTGTAATAAGGTTCACCAAACACATCTTTCCATCCAAGGAACTACACCTCTCGCACACAGGCCCATAGGTATACATTTTTCTAAAGTAGTCCACGTTAAAATCCTGATTTATTATTTCTTCAACAAACATAACCATTTTCTGTAGAACAAACATGGCCCGTGTTTTGTCTTCACTTATAACGTCAACTTTAATAAGATTTCGGTCGTTTGAATTAATGTTTCCAGAAATTACTTCTGTACTGATGAAGAAAATGCATGATTTATCAGTTCTAAATCTTGCTGCATCGTAAAATATCTCATCCGAACAAAACATTTCACAACATTTAGCAATGAGACGTAGAAATATAAATTCTTGAAGAATTTCTCCAAAATCGAAATAAAAAATGTATTGAGAGCGAACATTGCTGATCTGTGTAGTTGACAATGAATTGTTCTTTGGCAGTCGACACGAGAGAAAAAAGGTGCCAGTTTGTTCAACGGGATCAAGTACTTTATGAGGAAAAAGTAGGTGTGTTGCCACTAAGAAATGAATGATGTAAGAGTAATGTTTCTGCAAAATGTTTTTCTGTTTACAAATGTGTTCCAGTAGTCTACTGTCAACAATGCCAGTGTCTTGTAACTTTATCCATAATTCAGCTACTGTCCGATTTCTTAAGTGAGGTTTAGGCACATTCACTAAGATTGTCAGGATATCTATCAGCATTTGAGGGTCACATATAACATACTTTCGGAGTGCCAAATCACGTTCGTTGTATATGACATCACCAGATCTGTCAAAGAAGTTCAAGAATTCGCACAACTCATTCTGAGAAATGATATTAGATGCTGAATTAACTTCCTTTAAGAGCTCTTCTAAACTCGTGATTATGTACTTTTGTTGGCGAAACTTGTTCAAAGTTTCATGGAATAAAAGATATTTTACTGGGAATTCCTCCTGAAAATATTCCAATTTTGTAATCTCTTTTTGAATAACTTTTTGTAACATGTCACGATCTTGGTCTAAATGTAACGAATTTTCAATAAAAAAGAAAAGGCTAGGCTTACTCAAAGGATAAAATGCAAGTAATCTAGGATAGGAGTTGTAGAGTTGTGCTTCTGCAAGTTGAGTAAATCTCTTCAGAGCATTTCCGTCAACAACGCTGTCCCTCCTTGTTCCTACAAGAAACACTACAACATCTTTAATGTCTCCATGCATAGCAACTGATTGCAACCAGAACTGTAGCCGCTTAATTTGTTTTCTGGGATTCATAGCCGCTTCAACTGCGTTAAATACAATCAGATACACACCCTGCTTTGGCATGAAAAGATGGTGGGTGTTATAGTATATGGTTTCTCCTGCAAAGTCCCATAGACTAAGTCTAGCATCCAAATAAGGTCCTGGTTCATTACGAATACCTGCTTCCATTGATTTTTTTATATGTTTTATCGGTATAGAGGTTGTATTCTTCACTTTCATGTATGCAAACCATTCGTAGACAATAAATGCAGTGATTGGCACTATAAAAAGCAATAGGCTGAAAAAATATCGTGGAAAAGAGAAGTATCTATTATTGTTTAAGCTCAGAGTTTTTAAATCTACAAATTCCCACCCGCACAAAATGGCTATAAATATACCAGCTACAAAACCAATAGCTTTCTTGATAATATACACTTTAGGAATATACCCATAAGCAGCAAATTTTCTTCCTGAAAGAACTCCAGCAACAATACAACTTCCAAGGACCACAATACATGAAAAAGTATAAAATAGGATTACAAAATACCGTCCTTTAATAAAGGCTGCGACTATGATGAAAGAAATGATACTTAATAAAGAAAGTACACAGTTCTTTCGACTCATTGACAATATCTTAGAGGAAACATACCTAAACATCACAACACTTATAACTGCAATAATGTAAATTATCAAATTATAATATACTTTGCTGTAGATAACTAATAGTTCTTCTGTAACATTATCGATGGTAAATGTTTTCTGTTTAGGATGTATCATTATGCAGAACGCCATGCATACTCCAGTTCTACCACCTGCTCCCATAAGAACACCAACAAGTAAGCCAATTAGTATACACAAAGTCATGACAATGGATGCTTTGATCAATTCGGTGCTTCCTAAATCTATTGTTGCCATTGCACTGTCTATGAGTACCAGCGCGATAGTGTATCCGCAACCGAAGCGGTACGCAGTGTGAACATCGAGTATATACATCAAGCAAAGAATATTCATCCATACAACTAGTCCAAATCCATAAGTAAAACCACCGAGTAGAAACATAATCATGAGGGGACTACTTTGCTTTGCCTGATATAATGCGTGGTCAGTTAGCTTTATGTCTTCTACTGGTGGTAACCTCTCAGGATGGACTGACGTGCTACCACTAGGATTCGTGGGCTCATTTACAAGCCGTTTGCGTACGTGTGATACTGCCCAGCATGCTGCTGAACTTTCAAAGTCTTCTCGTGGTGTATTTGCTACTTCACGCCACTTACCGTTAACATCACTAACTATTGCTTTGACGGTATTTGTTTCAATTCCTATGGTGCTAGGCTCCTCCTGTCGAAAATCCTTTCCTTGCAAACGTCTACATGTCGATGTCTTTCCCACACCATGATCTCCTAAAATTAAGACTTTTGACCTGTTAAAAGGAAGTCTTCCTCTTACTCTTGCTTGTTCATAGGCTGCTTCATTCTCCTTATCGTCTGCAAGTACACGCAAATTAAAACTACGTTCAAATGAGCGGAAGCCACGTAGATAGCTTGAATGTTTTTTATTCATCTCGACCTAGGCCTAGGTAGAACTACTCTTTCAATCAAACACTACTTTCCGAATGTTTCACTGTTTTATTATAAGTATAGCTATAGGCCTACTTTGCTACCGTTAGTACCAAGCAACCCTCAACCAGTAATACTATAGGTTGAAAAAGCACCTTGCGTATAGGCCTAATTTTGAAAACTCATTCCTGTACACCAAACTTTACTTTTACTTTTACTTTCCATCTTATGATTGTTTATACATCCTGTCATTGTCATACGATCCCAAAATATGTTCCCGGCATTCCCTTTGAATCTGTTTTTTACAACGCCTTTTTCGGGCTGTGGGAGACATTCTTCGATGATGACAAACAATGCTGAGCAGTGAAGCGTAACCAACAGAAATAACATAACGTTTTGGCCATATTTTCGGAGGTCATGTTACTCAAAAAATCATTATATCCCTAACGGAGGGTCGTGTCAACATATTTTTTTCTTTAAAATGTTCGCAAAGAATATATCTAAGTACTGTGTGAATTAAAAAAAAGAAAATTTGTTTAGTCTGTCAAAACTTAACTGGAAAATAGAAAACCGATTTTGCATAGTTGCTATTATTTCAATTAAATAAAAAAAAATTTTTTTTTTTTCGTTACTCATACAGTAGTTTAATAGATATATCCTTTCCTTTCGAACATTTTAAAGAAAAAATTATGTCGATACGACCCTCCGAAAATATGGCCGGTGTAGCACGAATTTTATTCCCGGCGAATTTTAGTATTTCGTGGTCTGGATGATCAGAGCCTATGGAACACAAATTTGCAACATTTTGTGACGCCGCACAGTGGGCCAGGATCAATTCAAAGTGTGCCAAAAGTCGAAAATATGTAATGTGACAACTTCAACTTTTAAAGGTTGTTTGATGTCGAGAACATCCTAAATTATATTAATCCACCAATAATTTCATATTTAGTGAATTTTCATAGTGTGATATAACCATGTAAACATGAAAAAGTTGTATTTTACTCGTAAAATTGACAGTTTTGAAAAACTCCCTATGACTTTACTTAGATGAAAGCAGTCAACTTGATACTTCTTGCAGTATATACCTATTGTTAACTAAATTAGATAGTAAAATAAAAAATGACATTATTGGTAAATTTTTAGAATAAAGGACACTAAAAATGAGCCAAAAACGCTTAAAAACGTTTTTTTCATAAAACCAACTTAAAAGTTAGAATTGCCGGCGATTTTCGTCATGATTTTGATATCAACATTTCAGGCAGAGTCTAAGCTTTACGTTGATGCCAAGTTTAGCTGCCAATATCTGCCACCCTGCATTTAGCAAGCGA